AATAACTGCACTCATTTTGAATGGAAAATGAATGGTGTTGGATTGGAATTTAATCATTTGTTCGGTTTCGGTGTATTGGATGCAGCTGAAATGGTTATGTTGGCGATGGTTTGGAAGACAGTACCTCCGAGATTCCATTGCGAAGCGGGGACTATTGCTACATCTCAGTAAATATTTGTCAACATCTTGTAATTCAGTTATCGGCGTCAACTGTTTAGTGCGAGGTTTGCTGCACAGAATGGGATAAATCTTCAAAGATTAACTGTTGACGATCATTGGGATATTATTTAATTAGAATTCAAATGATAAATTGGTGCTTTATTATTGGAGAGCTTGGAGAGTTCGAAATAATGAAAATAACAAGCATAGGTAACTTCTTCAAAATGTTTTAGCGAAATTCCATCAACTGGAAATCTTGTGCTGGAATTGATTACTGATGCATGTATGGGTACCCCAACAGAAGTTAATTATTTGGAACATGTACAAGCTGTTGTTACTTTAAATAGCAGCCGACGTGGTGACACTACTCTTTATCTAGTGTCTCCATCTGGCACACAGTCTGTTTCTTCTTTTTTTTCGAGACATTTGGAAAATTAAATTATTGAAGCAGATAAATTAACAAATGCCATGTCTTTTTATTTACGTAGGATTTTTGCATCGTAGTATTACTATGACATCCGAAATAATTCTTTTAATGAGAAGTTTCAGATGCTAAAAACTGAACCTAATTTTTTGCAAATAATAAGAGTTAACAGAATTTTTAGTGACCAGGTAAATTGAGAGATGTGAAAGTACAGTTTTGCTCATTTTTGAAATATTCATTTCCTTTTTAAACAATTCTACAGAACAATGATTTTGTCTCGACGTCCAAAAGATAATGATAACAAACATGGATTCACGAACTGGCCTTTTATGACCACTCATACTTGGGGTGAGAATCCACGTGGCAAATGGCGTCTCATTGTTCGATTCCAGGTAAATTTTAAAATGTTGAAATTTGAGCCTTTCGATCCAAAATCTTTGGAATTACCTGTTTTCTCAAAAATCAGTTCCTCTCTGAATACTCTTGGAGATTAATTTGAAAAATTGTAGTAGTACTAAATATTCCTGACATATATTTTTTCTATTTTAAGATTTTGTAATGATTTACTTTATAGGGGAGCGACAAGAATCACGGTATGGTGAAGAAGTTCACTCTTATGCTTCATGGTACTAATGATCCGCCATATACCGGTATTGAACCTCTTCAAGGACATGTAAACAGTAAACTGAAAGTGGTGCAGAAGGCACACAAACGTGCTGCATTTCGTCGTTGATGTTAAAACTATCAAGCTGACTTCACATTTGTAAAGAAAATTCTTGAAAATCGGAGGAATCTTTCAATAAAAGCTTTGAAATAAAAAAGTTATGAAAAAGTAGTTGCGGGAATTTTCAACGATCGCATAATAATCAATAAGATGGCAGGGGTTGACAAGCGACAAATATATGAAATCGAGATTTTAATCAGAATGTACAATTGTCAATTGGTTTGTGAATTAGTATTATGCTAATAATTAAGTTTTCTGAATTTGCGCTTCTCAGTTCGTTTACCTCCTGGATTGGTTTACAATAAATCAGTTCGAAATAAAAGAATAGCATTTTAAGACTTTTTCCCTCAAGTAATTAAATGAAACTTTTGCTCCATATATTGTTTGGAGTAAAATCTTTGTCAATTTTCGTCAATATCTAACAAATCGATCGGAATGAAATTCCATAAAGTGAAATTATTTATTATATTATTTCTCAGAAGTTTCTGTGTTAATTCCATTCAGGTATGCTTGGCTTCATTTCCAACGTACATCCAAATGCGAGATCGCAGGTGTTAGTAGTTTTGATACCGTAATGAAGCACAAATTTATGTTAGAGCAAAGTTTCCAAGTTTTATTCAAAAATAAAACATTCAATCCTCTATTTTACCCACTCTTTCATCCTTTTTCTTTTTTTCCCTCTCTCTCTCCCTTGTAATATGGTAAAATAGCTTCAAGTATGATAGCTAGTTCAAAGCAAATTAAATTTTGTTAAATTAATGAATACAAATCGAAGGGTGGACTTAATTTAATATTAGCATACTTTCGAGAGATATTTCAAATTGTAATGATAAGAAAATGAGCTTTTTGTAAAAATAAACTCTCGGAGACAAAGAAAGAAATGGATGAGTTTTTTCACTCCTGGCGAGTTATTAATTATTGTATCATAAGATAAAATTACTGATCGATTAGCTAACTGGATTTCATTAGAATGTTAGCATCCAACAGATGACCACATTGATTTTATTGTTATGATTACTTGCTATCACTGGATACAAATTAAAGCAATTGGTGAGTTTTGGAGTCATTTATGGTCATTTTATAGTTTACTGATACATTATGACAGTATCATGAATTATTTAACAGCTACCTGAAATACCAACCCTCCAAGTTATTTGTTCCAGTTCTCGGTGGTAATTGATTTATTGAATAAAAGCGCTTACGAAATTCTGTTTGCAATTCCTTTGATATTTTTCAAAGTAATCTTGCACAACCAGCAAATATTTGTAAACAAGTCATTATTTGAATAAGGGAGTAAATCTTTGAATAGTATTTAAGTAAAAGCAAACTGTCAAGTAGGAGCACTCCAGTACCAAATAAAAATTAACAAAATAGCTTAAAATAATAATAACATTATAGTTAAAACTAAGATTGTTTCCTAAACAATTTAATTAGATTTGCTGGCTGTTTTGATGCAAATTTCTAAAATTTCGAAAAATTTCCGGCATTATAAGAAAAATGAATAAATGCAAGGGAAGTTGTATAAATGGCTGGTTATTTCAAAAATATTTTACAAATAGTCTCATGTGAATTTATAATCTCATAGAATGCTTTGAAACTGAAAAGCTAAAGGGGTCAATACGAAAGATATTTTTTAGAAATTTGAATTTAATAGCACTTCTTTTTTTGTCGATATTATTTTTAGTAATATTTTACTTTACACCTTCAAAATTGGTTTTCCAGAGATTTGTGAAGAAAGCGGGATAATTTTTTTTTAATTTACGATAACTTCCTTTCTGCTTATGTCGTTAATGGGTCAATAAAACGAAGATGGTATTTCTTTAGTATAAAGAAATACCATCTTCGTTTTTAATAATGTTTGATCGAATTATAACCACATTGATCTATATTAGTTAAATAATGCTTTAATAAAGTTAAATAATGTTTGATCGAATTATAACCACATTGATCTATATTACATTAAATCGCATAACACTTAAGCGACGTATGCAACCAAACAAATCCGGAAAAACTGATAGTTATCTGTTAATGTGATGATTTTCCTGATTACTGTATGCCCAAAGCTATATACTAAATGTATTTTTTTGACCAAACTATCGGGTAGAGAAGTCTAAGATGCTTTTGTTTTTCAAATTTCACGACATAATTAGCATGGCATTCAAACTTCCTTTCCTCTCTTATCGTAAAATGTGAGTAAATAAGTGATTACTATTGATTATTGTGCAAAGTTTGTTATTTTCTTCTCTGCGCCAAAAAATGTCCTTTGGATAATTTTCCAGTACTACTATACATATAATCAATTATGTGCAAACTTCTTTCTCTTTTTTTTTCTATCCGGAAGAAACGGATGATACGGATGATTTCATGAGCTAATAATATTTTCTGGAATAATCATAAAAATTAATGAATGTATTTGTTTTTGCTATATCCGATCCATTTAAGTTCATTAGATCCTAACATTGACCTTTCAATAGTTCAACGATATTTCTAGCCCTAATCAACTAATTTATTGTTTCATTCACCACGAATAGCCATTCACCATTCTTACAAGCTTTTCGTGCAGATTTTGTTCGGAAAAATTTCTGTTATCGATTGTAATAGAACAAGTCATCTTCTGAAGGATAAAGAAAGAGAATTCCTTTGAAGATCTGAAATTTCTGGCCTAAATTTCACATTTTAACGAGGTATTATTAGATTCTGAATCGATGTCAAAGTTCAAAGGAAAGTCATTCATTCACCCACCGCTCCTGCCATTTCTTCTTGTCTACATTTTTAATATCTCCAGTTCTCGGTACATCTCATCTCGCCCTTATCTCCCACCATCACAATTGTCACATTTCCTTGCAAATTAACCGTAAATAATCACCCCTTCTCAATATCAAGTACGTAACTCATTTCCATATTTAACTATCAGCTAATTCTTTTACTCACTCTTTCGCCTTATTACTTACTTATTTCCCATCTGATCGTAATCTTTCATCCTTATGCGTCATGTAATGTATTTACAGTAGAACTGTTGCGTTCTAATTCTTGAAAACAAAATATCAACATGGCTTCTTAGAGTTTGCATGGAATGAAGCTCATGATGTCCTCGATTTTTCATACGATCGGCGTTATGATAATGTAGTTTTAGAAATATTGTAAAAACATTTAACATATACTAAAGTGAGAGATTCACGTTTGTTTTAATTTGAATTATTAGAATGAATATCTCCATGAATTCTAGACAATACGGTAATCACAAGGCTTTCAATTACTGTATCTGTGTGATTAAGCAATGTTTCACTTTTTCAAATCACCGGACGTTCGTTTTTTGATGGGAAACCTGTTTATCTTATTCAGGTAAAGGAATCAAACTAAAAAAAACGAAAAACAAATAAGCAAGCTGATTTGCAAAAATAAAATTTTTTTTCTTATTTTTCATTTTTCAAAATTCCCTAATATATGCCTGTTAGAATAACAAAATTTCCACTAATTTTTATTGAAATTTATCCCGCCCTTGTAAATCTCATTCAAAATTTTTCTTTTCTTTTTTGGTAAGGAAGGGAGGGATAAGCTTTTTGGGAAAACTTTTCTTTTTTCAAGGGCAACAAATTTTTCTCTTTGCTCGCGCTCCTTTATTCTCCGATCTTCTCATTAATAAAAACAATTCTGAAGTTCTTTGGCCAATAAAGGAAACAAATTACCAGAAGAATGCATTATCATCTAAGAATTAATAATAATGCTGAAGGGTGGAAAATACTAATTACTCCGATAGCTGCATTTCTAGGAATAAAATCCGCTAGATTGCGCATGCATATTGCTGCGCTAATTATTTCAGCTAGATTGGATGGCCATACTGCTGCGCTAATTATTTCAGCTAGGTTGGACGAGGTGCGCTTGGACAAACAATGCGCGAAATATCAGCTTGTTTTCTCACTAAAATCGATTTTTCGTTCTTTCGGATATGAATGTAACTGTCACAACAACTAAAAACGCTGAAAACCAATACTTGCATGGAAGTATATCTTCCTATTGCCACTTTTAATCCTTTAAAAATATTCTCTAACATTTCTGGAATGAGCATCTCTAACGAAAACATTAGCGCTGAGAGAGATTGTTGCAGAATGATTAATGCTGAAAATGAATAAAATTCCTAAAATAATAAATACATAAGCCGTTGAGCATTGCTAACTCCTTTTGCATATTTTCCTTCTTTTTTTTTCTTTTTTTTTTGTAGAGAAAAGGGGGGAGTAAAGCAGAGAATTCCGTAGGAGATGATAAATCTGAAACATCAGATCATCATCGATCTGATAACAGTAAGGTTAGCCTGCTTTCCGCTACTTTCCACCATTTGTTGCATTTCCCTTCTTCGTGAAAAACCTGTTTAGTGTAATAAATCATATAAAAATGCTTGTTGGAAAGCATTTACAGTGCAAACGTTACTTGTCGAACAGAAGAAAATGAATTTTCATTTTCTTTTCTGACAACAAGGAATTTTACAAGGGAAGATGTGTGTGAATGGTTGTGTTTTATTCGAGCAGTATTGATTTTTCATTTTTAAAACAATAACAGCAGAAGGACTTTCCTGTTTCCATCTCTTACATTGAGAAGAAATAAAAGCATCTGGTATGAGTGTAAAGTGAATGTGATACTCATATAAGGGGTCAGGAGTTTACTTTCAACCTTATCGCATATTTGCATCATTATATTATTCTTTTACGTGAAACAGAAAAGAGGAAAGAGTGAGTAGAAGAAATTACCTCAGTAATTCAGGTACAGCTTTTTGTAATCGAATCTTTCCCGAATGAAATAATAGAGAGATATATTGATAGCTCAGTGTAATAGTAGTTGTAATATTCTGTGTACGTCTATCATTTATTTGTTCTCCTTGGTCTTTTTATTGCTCTTTGATATATGATCTATGTGGTAAAAATATTTTATGGACTTCCGGAATCAGAACTATTGACGTATCAGGAAGTTTTAATTCTGATCAAAAAATCGATTCAGTGGTACAATGGATGCAAATCGTTTCGTCGTAATGATGCTGATAACATTGTTGATTTCAAATATGATTATTATTAGAACTATTTTTGTGATAATTAAACTGTTATCAATAGTAATACCACTCGGAGATGTGTTACGATTATGAGGAGAGACAGAATATTTTTTTTTTTTTTTGCAACACACTGACATCTTCCTTAATGTTTGCTTATTTCTTCAGACATATTCGTTCGCATTTAATTAAAACTGATAAGGAACTGATAGAGGGAGGACAGAATCCTTCCTGTATTATTTAGCTTTCGAAATGTTGCACAATCAGATATCCTGTATGTGCAACATTTCAAAATATTGTATTATTCAATGTCAATTAAACAAGGACGCTTTGCAATTGACCAGTTTTCCCTTTAGTATACTTTTCTTACCAGTGGTAAAAAGTTAAAACTTTGTTTATCCATTTTTCATCTTGTTAAATTCCCATTTTCATCTTTCGCTTCCCACTCATTTCTTGATTCGTATTCTTTTATTTTTCCATCGTTAACAATTTGCTGTTTTATATGTAGCCCAATGCATGGGGTATTTCGATAGTATCGAATTGACTGCAACGACGGCGACAAGAGAGAGAGTTCTATTGCATTGGCGATATGAATGATGTAGTTAGAAAACCAAGATCGAGGTCGAGACCAAGGCTGAAGCTGGAGTCGGGATTGAAAGAGCATCAAAAGTATAATGGATGGGTCCAACAAACATTTGCAGATAGATTGCAATTGAAAGGAGCGCATAGTGAAATTCTTTGACACCGGCTCTCCGTCTCCTCGCTGGACTCTGGCTTTTATAGAGATATTATCATGGTGATCAATTGTATTGCCATAGTTATCGCTTACAATACTACGATGTTCTTTTAAAGCTCCCGTACTTGAATATTTGCCAGGCTACCAACTTAAGAACAAGTCCCATTTCCAATTTCGATTCATTCTTAAAGGAACTGATTGACAACACAACTATTGCTTTATTTCATGTGAAACAACGACTTTTTTCAGCTTCTCGAAAATGTTTGTACTGCTTTTGCTTTAAGCAACATCCGTCCCATCCCTCTTTTTCTTCTTAATGAACATTCCTGCTGCCTCCGCTCTCCTCCCCCGGCCATCGGGATCCCTATTATCACTGCTATGTCCAATGAGGCAACGAGGATACCCGCACGCAGTTTATTGCTGTGTATTCCTCCTCTCCTCTATCATTTCCTCAATTTTCTGCGCTTTATGACCACAATCCCCTGTTGTTGAAGGCATTCAGAATTGCTTCACATCTTATCCTCTCATTTTCATCCCAATATTTTCAATTATTTACGAATATTTGATTAGACTGGCATTGCAAAATCGAAATTCCTCTTCATCTTACCAAATACAGTAGTATTCTAGTTGTAAGAAAATGAGTGCATTTTCTTTCTCGGAAAATACCCGAGACTTTTGATGTTAAGATTCTTATTTGACTTGAACTTGAAATTATTGCAGAATTGTTAAGGTAAACAAGTGGAAAGGAAGATTATAAGCATAAATCTCTCTTTTTCATTAAACTCCGAACCAAAGGTTGATTCACATTACTACTTAGCTAATATCAAAGTGGAGATCAAGAGTAAGCTTAACAGAATCGAAGGGGGAATGGTTATTTCGAAAATGTGATTTAGCTTAGTTTATTGCCAAAGAAGTTCGAGTAAGTTAAATTATCACGCTCAGGTTTCCAACTGCTGTATTTGGTTTAACGAGGGTTAAATTTGAAAAATGATAGAGCCTATTTCACTTTAATTGATAAAATAACCCTATCACTCAGTTATCATAGCTGCAATATATCTACCTATCCAGGCATGATCATGGATTTCCGACAATGCAAGAATGATTACTCTCGGGACAGAACTAAACTTTGATTTTTTTTTCTGCAAGTACCATTTAACTACCCACTTCCATCACTCTCTAAATCTGAATCATTCATTTTTACTAATTTCTTTTTTTTTCGAATAATTTTGAGACAAAATAAACATTCTTGCATAAATTAAATGATAAAAAAAACATGTTTTCCACCTAAACGATCCAGCATTGAATTGTGAGGAATAACAATGGCTTTTTCCATTCATGTAAGAATGGAATCATTTTATTTTCAAAAAAAAACGATCCATTCAGCAGTTCTTGTTGAGAAATATAATCTAATCATAGCGGCTTTGTATTCAATGACTCATCCACTTTTTTTTATGATTAGTGTCCTCTGGTTAAACCGTTAATAGATTTATTGCTTGGTGTAACACTTTTCAAAGTTTTGGGATTTTTTAATGCATTGTTCCTTTGTGGGGAAATGACATGTTGTATAACTGAGGTACTCTTCCTAATATTGGACATAACAACTATTGCAAATATTACAAATAGCGGGTCGTAAATCGGAATCAATTCTTTTTATATTTTGCAATGTAAACGACTTATGGTTGTGATACCTGTGACAGGTTGGTCTATGTAAAGGAAGGTATTACTTGTACAGAAAGGAAAAGTTTTTAGATGATTCGTCGAAGTTTTATTAATAATATTTATTGGCTAAGAAGTTGTTGTTTTTGATTCCCTCACGGTATTCCTTGATAAATGTTACAAGTCCTGGATTTTAATCATTTAAATATCTTGTTTTTTTTATTTAAATATATATTTAAATATATACAGCGTATTTCTACGCAATCTATCTTGGCCATTTTCACAACGTTACATTGATTGCAATGATTTGAGCTATGCATGCGATGTTCTAAGGTGGGATTGTGGGATTTGTGATGATTTTTGTTTCGTGGATATCAGTAGGTGCAGAGCATTAGATTTCAAAAGTATTTCTATTCATAATATGCAGTTAATTGAAAACGGAACGAATGAAGTAAGACATATTCGGACATATAGACATATTCAGTTCACAAATTTTTGGAAACTTTTGTGTTTTCTTTGCTAGGGATTTTCTTTAAATCGTTTGAAATGTAAGGAAAAAAAATCTATAAATTCTGCAAAAAGAAAACAAGAATTCTTTTGGGAAATTCTGGCTTTCTGAAAATAATAAAGAATTTTTTGTTTAGTAATGGCAAGGGATGAGAAGCTTATCTTTTATTTTATTCAGTCAATTAAGTAGTTAGTCGTAAAACTACATTTGAAATTGGAAGAATTTCAGAAGGAATGAATTTCGGTTCCATCAAAAAACTCTACAAACTTGTTTTAAAAGTGAATTTTAATCGTTTTAATGGTGGAGAAAAAACACGTTTGCCAAGTGGCTCATTTAGAATGTCAAATAGCATATATATATATATATATATATATATATATATATATATATATATATATATATATATATATAT